GAGCCGGCCAGCTAACCAATCAGAGCAGACTGGGCTCTGGTTTCAGACAGAGGGTGAAAAGAGGTGCTGCAGCACAGGCAGTATGAGGAATATAAAGAGCTTTCTGAACATTAGAGCATGGAGACATGTCCCAGTAGTGGCACAAAATGCAAATATGAACCTGAAATCAGCATGATAGGACCCCTTTAAATATATGAGAATGAACCAATGCACAGTAACAGAGAATCCAAAGGTCAAGGGACTGATAATTTCCCTGATATTAAGCCATCCAGCTGGTTTCCTACTGGGTTTAATACACACTTGGGATTGTTCTGTGTGAGCCAGGTCTTGCACCATCTGCCTCGCACCTCGTGAAACTGCTTACTGTCAAGGAACTCCATAATAACATGACAAATGTGTCAAAAGTCATACATCATTTATACGTGGCGGTTAGTTCTTAAAGTGCATGGCTCGTTTCCCCCGAACCCAAAAGGTGAAGTGAGCTCCGCCACAGTATTCTCTGCCGGAATCAGGCCAATGAGCATGAAGGACAGCAGGGCCGAATTTAACTGTGTGTGAAGACAACATTGGCTGAGTTTATGACCCCTGACCTTCGCTGTGTCTCTCCAGGCACGGGGCTCGATGCTTGTGGTGCACTCTGGGATGCGTGAAGGCGGTAATGACTCTTGACTCAACAGTTTGGCTTTGTCAGCCCGGCCAGCTGTGTATTAATCTTCATACTTGTGTGTGGCTGCTTGTCTCTGTCTTACGGGGGGAAAGAGGGGGGGTCGAGGGGATGAGAGTGTGTGTCCATGTCTTTAATCCTCGCCTGCTTAATTATAAATCTTTCCAACTGTCATGGGCTCCTTGCTCGGATCCCAAGAGTTTCTGTTAATATTGTCATGTCCCCAAAGCAAAATGGCCGACCAGCAATTAGGCCCTTCTGCAGAAGACCCTTTCAGGGGTGACTTCTCTGTGGATATGGGGACCTGTTTACTAGCAGAGTCGCAGTGGAGAGCCTTTCTTCTTTATCCTTTGCAAAAAAAATGTTTTGGTACGGATTTAATGACATAAATTATTTACACAAATAGAAATGGAAAAATAAACAGCTACCGTCACTACCTTGCATGCGACTCTTACAAAAGCGGTTGTTATTCCGCGAAAAGGGGTCTATTAAATTAAACCCACTCACTTACTGCCCAATTGTAATGAATTATTTTTGGTGCAGCTATTTTGCAGGGGTCACCACAACTCAGCAGTGCATCTGCCCTTTACCGGCTTCATGTTTTTGTGCAGATGAGTCATTTTGGAAAAACATGATTAATTCATTTCCATCTAACCACTCACTATGGCATCGGATAGATTACTGAAACAGCAGGAGAGGTAGATGGAGGCAAAAAGACAGCGAGAATGATGAGAGGGAAGAATGAATCTGAGAGGAGGAGGGCGGGGGGTACGGAGGAAAGAAAGGGAGCAGCGGATATTAGCGTGCGAGCGATAAGGGAAGCTTGAGATGAAGAGGACATAGCATAAACTCCCATACACATACACCCACGTGCAAACAAACAATTCCACTTTACTCGGCTCTACTCCATAAATCAATACTCTTTTTTTCCTCTCAACTGCAGTAGAGTCCCTTGGCAAACAAGGAGCTGGGCTGTGGGGAGGTCCCATGCCACCTTGGTGACCCCAAAGAGTCTTAACAGCACACATGTGACCTTTAGCTTCCTTCAGAGAGGCGCTCGCTCTTCCCTTATCGGCTGTCCGGGTGCCTCTGTCGCCTTCCTCTGTGTCAGACAGTTATAGTGACCTTTATTTAAGCCAGCATGGGGATGTAGTCTTCTTCCGTCTTTCAGCGACTAAGAGCTTCTACCTTTCTCCAACACGGCCCCTTGCCCCAGAGCAAAATGTCTTCACTTTTTAGAATACCTTTTCTTCAGGTCGAGGATATGTCAAAACTCACTTCTTCAGGTTCAACTACTTTTCCATAACAACAAGGATCCAAAGGAAGAAACATATCCAAATCTTACATACACTTGTAATGACTGACAAAAAAGAACAATCATCTAAATTGATGCCGAAGAAAGACTTAGATATCGTCATATTTAGTGTGGGTCATGCTCCTAAACTCCTAAATCCTACGCATCCCATAATGCAACACGATAGCATCTCTTCTTTACACCGTCTGTTCCTGGTAATTGCCCATTTCTGTCAGTCTTTCCATCACAGATTTGTAGTAGGGTCACCCGGGTGGCCTAGGGGTTAAGATTGCCGCTTTCTCATGTCTACCTGCTTATAAATGTATCAAAAGAGGAGATAACCCCAATGACATCACCAGTTATTCTTTGAAGACATTAGACATCTCTCCCTGGAGCTACTAAAGACTTTATTACATCCCTACAGTTGTGTTTTTCTCCTCAATGAGTCCCAGTTTGAAGACATCCCAAGCTTCCCATTCGTCACGTCTCATTTTGTAGGGGCTGCACCATTTCTCCATCAGTGTCTCAGGGCATGGACGATGATCCATGAGGTCAAGCATGCAGTTCAGCGGAGTGATGAAAATGGATTTTAAATGCCTTGATTAATCCCTGGTATGAGATGTTTCCCCCCCATCCCTAGATTATCACTTATGAATGATAGAGAGGGAGACTCAGCTTGGTCGTGACTTCTTTTGACTAATTCCATGGTTAACGGAGTGGACACAATTGAGCAGGAATTGTTGTATAAAACAATATTTTAAGGGGGTAAAAAAGCAGTGTTTTTCCCAAACTTTGTACTATAAACTGCATGTAGTAAACTGAGATGTACTATATAACAAATTAGGTTGAACAGGGACCATCTCAAGATAGTGTAAAAAACCTCCATTAGTATGGCCCTTTAAGCTTAGAAGCTCCAACAGCTTTATTGAAAAAGAAAATTGTTTTGAATTGCTTATTCAATTCAATTTACCCTAAAAGCTTGTGTGTGAGGATCCAATTTCCAACAAGTAGTCAGCGAGGTGTTTTTATCCCTACGTTCATGAGAGGAATATTTCTCCAGAACCACGTGCATTTCATGGACTTACGTGTGCAGAATGAAATGGGCGCTGGCTTCTACTCAGACACATGCACACAGTGCTTGGCACCATTTGCTTACCTCGTAGAACTTCTCATTGTTTCATCATTATGTAAAAAAAACTCATCGTGTTTAACAATTCCCTTGTCTTTAAGTGAGGGGTTGTGATGCAAATTCCTTAAATTCTGGCTCCATCATGTATGCTCTCCAGCCCCAGGTAGCAGGAATTAATGAGCGTTTCTGTGCTGCACCTGAGCATCATCATGCAACCTAGTGGAGCGGCCAATTTCCCTCAAACTGGCACTGCCCTCCTAGTTAGCTGCTAAACCCCCCGAGGCGCTGAGGGATTGTTTTCAGCGGTTAATTGACAAGATCCTGGTGGTATTCCACATCCACACACTCATCTGTAGAGTGGTGTGTGTGTGCCGTGAAGCCACCTTGTCATGCGTACCACTATGACCTTCCAACTGAGGCATTTGTTTTAAAGTAAAGGTTGCGCCACTCGCTAGGACATGCCTTATTTATGACTTAATTATACACATCTAGTGACTATCTTTTAATATGCTTTTCCAATTATAGCCTTTGTCAGGTCCTACGCATGCCAATGACTCAACCCTGATCAGCTGTTAATGAGTGAATATTATATGATGTTTCATCAAAACTTCCCAACACAAATAAAAGTGTCCGCTTTTCTGGAATAACCATACATTATTTTAATGGTGATCACTTTTATGGGTGTTGAGATCATAAAACCTGTCCAGCATATACTGCACGTTGTAAAAAAAAAAAAAAAGCCTTTAAATTGGTATTAAGGGATTTTTATGCAGCAGCAGCAGCAGCAGCAGCAGCAGTGAGTAAGTATTATTGAGTCGAGAGGAAGGAGGAGAGGAAATGGCCCTGAACAAAATGGGCTCGCCGTCTGCTTGTCGCTGTGTCTGTCTCTGGGTTTGTGGCGGAGTGACAAAGAACCCGAGGGCGAAGTGATTCTGAAGCTCTGACTTTGCCAACAGGCAACTAATCCCCAAACAAAGCTCAGCTGACCTGAAGCTGTCTGTCTGCAGTATTCACAACTCACACACACACAAATCCATATGCACATGTTGTGCCTTGCACACGAACTTGTGGAAAACCATCTTGCATCGGTATGTTGGCGCTATCGATACAAAAAGTAACAACTGCAGTACTGTATGAAAAGAACATAATACAATATGTACAGCAGCATTAAGCCCCGAAATATACCAGGAGCTTCTTTACAGTAAGAATGACACCATACTAGCCAGTAGGGATGCCAGAAACTGACCATGACCAAAATCGAAGATCGGACAGCCCTGGCGAATATTAATCGATTAATCGCCCCCCCCCCCCATCCCCCCCCCGGAGGAGGAAAAAAAAAACACTGACACTGGAACGTGTACATGGTACAAAAGGGCTCTTCAGGTAGAACAGTATTAATAATAGCATCATTGAAATAAATAGCCTACTTTATGTGTGTGCGTGCATCGCGCATCTTCAACTAAAGGCTATGGCAGGCACTTTAGAACAATAGGCCGTACAATTTCACCTTCATAGCCTAGTAAACAATCACGAATAAAATAATACTGCAGTAATCAGTTAACAAAAACAATAGCATCACTTGCTTATGCATCAAAATAATAAATCAAAATGGCATTATAGTCTATAAATAACAGTAGGCCTATTGTATTGAACATTCTAACAAACAGTAGCGAGTGAGTCTTTTAGGCTATAGATTGAAAATTAGGCTCCAAATACAAATTAAATCAGCTTCACTTGCAACAACAAAACGTCTTACTATTTAGTTCTTGTTCAAAAAGATGAGCTGGTCGACGTGGTCAGGGTGTAGGCGAGAGCGTAGCCGGTTAAGGATTAGTCCTGCCGCCGAAAAAACCCTTTCCGAGGGCACAGACGTGGCTGGCACACACAAATATGACCTCGCAAGTTGTGCCAACCTTTCGTACTTCGTCTCATTTACTCTCCACCAATCGAGGGGATCCAAATGGGGAGCGATGCACTTTTCATCACAGTAGTGGCTTAATTCCATTTCAGGCGTTACAGGTGTCTCCGCGTGGTATTCTTCGCCAAACAATGTTAGCATTGCAGACTTGTTGTCGTATCGTGGTCTCTTGGCCGCTGCAGACCCCCCCGCTGCAGACCCCCCCGCTGATTCAGACTCAGAGGAGTCCTCCTCGGTGATCTCTGGTTTGGCGTCTGCTCCCACAGCTAAGGCTGAAAGCAGCTCCTTGACTCTGGCCTTGACAGCATCCCTGAGCGCATCGTTAGCAAACTTTAGATGTTTATGCCGCGGGTCAAGAAACGATGCGATGAACGGAACTTTCTTGGCACTCTCCACTTCGTCGGGTTTCAGTCGCCGTTTCAGTGACACAGACACGGTTTGCTTGTACTCCGCAACCTTTTTAGACTCTTCTGGAGCAACAGGCAGGTGTTTGGTCAGCAAAGTTGCTGTGACAGGATAAATCATAGAGCTGGAAACCCCTGACTCTCCACACAGGGCAGTAGTAGCGCATTTCAGGGAGCGCAACACTGGCAGCATCTCTTCCATCACGATCCAGCTGTCATCGGCCAGGTCAAGGGTCCTAGCGTCTGACAGAGTTGTGACACTTCGGTCCGAAAGAACCGCAGCAACAGCCCAGCGCTGCTCCAGCAGGCGATCAAACATGTCGTAGATGGAATTCCACCTCGTACGACAGTACTGTATCAGGCGGTGATCTGGCAGTGTTTGATCAACCTGTTTCTGACAAAGCGCCTGTGTTGCTACTGTGCTGTGGTGGAAATGTGACACAAGTCGACTGGCACCGGCGACAATATGATGTATGGGCTTCAGCTTGAATCCATCATTTATTGCAAGTTGGAGTGTATGGGCATAACATGGACTTGAATCCCAATCCAAGTACTCATTGTTGGCGAGAGTAACATTGCTCGCGTTGTCATGCACACACGCAGTCACTTTCTCCAGTATCCCCCAGGACTCGGTAGCACTGCGGAGCCCCTCAGCTAAATTCTCTGCCGTGTGCCGTTCGGGCGTTGCACGGGTCTGTAGAACCGCACTCTTCATCTCCCATTCACTATCGATATAATGGCAGGTTATGGTAACATAAGATTCAGTTGTGAGTGCCGTCCACCCGTCGGTGGTTATCGACACCTTTGAGACAGTTGATAAGCTTCTGCGCAGATCTTCTGCCTTATCTTTGTACAGCTTTTCAATTCGTTTGGTCATTGTAGTACGGCCCGGGACCCTGTAATCTGGTTCCACGCTTGCCATAAGCTCAAGGAAACCGCCTCCTTCCACGAAACTTATTGGCAGCATGTCCTTCACTATCATATTGGTGATAAGTGCAGTTATGTCACCTGCACGCCTGTTATCACAACGACGTGGCCTTGAAATGAAGTTGGTAATGGCCGGCTGTGCTGCGTCTGTGTCTGTAGGCACTTCTTTGGCATGCTTCGCACTCAAATGCGAACGCATTGATGACGTTGAGCCGTGGTAGACCAACGTCTTTTCGCAGAGCTTGCATCTGACTTCTTTGGCACATGTCAGTTCGAAGTAGTTCCACGAGGAACTCTTCTTTGGACGTGCCGCTCTGTTCATCTTTCTTTGTGTTCTCACTGTTCTGTCGCCAATAAATCAATCGCACGTGTGACGGAGAGGGAGGGGCGGGGTCGGTGTGCAGCAGCAGTCTGCACTCTGCGCTGCTGGCTTCCTCCAAGTTTACAGTAAAACAAACTGGTGGTGTGATCAATGGTCATTTACAATTATTAATACTATTACTATTATTAGCATTAGTCTATATTTTGGTTGAAACCAAACCAGGAAAAAAAAGAAAAACATAAATATTAATAAAAAAATATATTAATAAAATCGATTTTTAAAAATAATATTCGATTATGGAGACTGTAACGAATAATCGAATAATCGAATAATCGCTGGCATCCCTACTAGCCAGTGCTATAGTTACATTTGCTGAGAGCAGCTGTGAACACTTGTTTGTTAAATGATGAAGGGATATCAAGTCCAACTCTCACATCTTGAGAGCTTTTTGTGTCTCCAAGGCAACTTGGCAACAACATTCGTCACAAAGACGCAATCTTAATGATTAATTCTGGATAACCGAAGCCGTGAAACACTAAGTACAAGGAGTCACTGGTAGAGAGCTTGGAATAAGGGCAATTTGGCTACTTAAATTGAGATCATTCGAGGCCATGGGATTATTTGCTGGAGCTTTTAATGAAAAAGGCAGAACAAATGCAGTGAAACAGGTGCATCCAGATAGGGGAGAGACACCTGTTCAAACAAAGGAGGTCTGGCAAAATTCCCATCAGGAAACATGGAGAACTTGCCCAGCAAAAGCCAGCATAATGATTGGCAAACAAAAAATTCCTCTTGGTTGTGTTTCTGCTCAGGTGGTTCATTTTCCTCTGATATCTTATTTCCTGAATAAACGGCTCTTAATTGGACACATATGGTACATTATATGCTCCTAGATCTACAACGTATGCTTTACTGCATACACAGCCAAGCATTTTGATGCAGTGTTCACCGTCAGTTGGGCAATGTGGACCTCTCTATCTCCCCGAGCAACCTGGTTGTTATTCCTGCAACAGTAACCACATCAGGCACCGGTGCCACGCAGGCTCCACCGCCGTGAAATCTGACTGGTTGGAGTGATGACAGCCTACAGCATCGCAGTCTGTCTTCCTCCCTGCCTCTCTCTGTCGGCTCTGGAAGACATTATATCTGGGCAAATTAGCTCATACAGTCCCTCCTGTAAGTCATCAGCCCTCTAATAGTGCCGTTTCCATTCGCTTCACACTCCCAGATAGATGTATCCCTTCACGATGGAGAGAAAACATAATTCTCATATAATATTATTTAATTCCCTCAGGTGACAAAGGATGTTCAAAATGTAATTTCTATTCAGAGTATGCGTGTGATCATAATCTTTATGCAAAGAAGGAAACGTGTGCGATTGCATTACCAGATGGACGTGGAGGAGGAAGTTAGGGGACGTTTCGAATATTTTAAATCCCAACGGGGGAAATGTCTCAAGCTTCTGTGTCCAGAGACCGACAACAAGATGGATGGCTGTGTCACCCATCAAGGCAGTTTAAAAACATAAAGCTGAAGTACACAGTACAAGTTATTTTTTTCATAACCTTCAGTAAAGTGACTGAACTGACTCACCGACCAAAACCCCCTCTGCAAAGGCTGGAGAGCCTGGCTTGACACTGTCCCCTGGACCAACAGGCACCAATTTGAAAAGTGTCATTCATACAAGCAGGGTGTCTCACTTTCTCAAAGGGTGAGGCATTTCACATTCTCAAAACCGTGACCCTTGTTCCTCCCGGGAAGATGGATAGCCCCTCTATCGATTTATAAAAGCAGGCTTTGAAATAAGATCCTCTTCTTTTCCCCAAATATATATTTCCTACACATACATGAGCTTTCACACATGCACATACACACATGATGTAAACAGCAGCAAAGGAATCCCCCCCAGAGAGGAGCTGTGCACACAGTGTTTACTGCTCTCCTCAATTATTGATTAGTTGTTTTCCTTCTGTTATGAGAGGCCACCCGTATGAGCAGTGAGAATGGCTGCCTCATAAAACTGCAGCAGCACTCGCTCAAACCGGACCGGCTTTATTGACCCTCCTAAAGAGGACACTTGTTTGTTTCTCTGCACTGCCTCTCTCTCTCGGTCGCTTACTCTTTCTGTTTTCCATCACTACCTCTGATTTGTCTCATTTGTTCTCATATTCCCCCCTCTGTATCACCGAGCCAAACTTCTTCGGACCGAGGCGCCATCATAATCCGTGCTCAGCAGAAACCATACCATCGGTCAGCACTAAATTATTAAGAATCATTTACTGTTGGACGTACAGAAAATGCGGAGTAATGCAAATTCTTGGCAGGACATTAAGAGGCAAAAACCTTCTTGGTTTAGAATTATGGGAACCACTTCTCTAATAGGGAACCCTTTATAAACGTGTAAATCAGTAATGCTTCATATATTAGTCAGAGGCTACAGTGAGACCTGGGATAACAATAGTTTTCCTCCTATATCCATACCATGTATTGACCTTTGACCCTTTCAAAGTGCTACCTAACCTGCCTCTCTGTGCGTGTGCATTTAATTCTCAACTCTTAAGAAACTCTCAAAACCTGGCAATCAAATTCCCATCCGCCCGCAGAGTATCTCGGCTTCCCAGACACACAAGGATCTCAATTATGGCCCTCTGGCTGTGGCGCTGGCGCTCCTGACGATAGAAGATAAAATGCAGTAATAGAAATGCCATCCTGTTACAGAGGCGGGGGGCTCTGTTGTCGACAAGAAAACAAAACAAAGTCAATATTGAAGAAGCGAAAAACAATGTGGAAATAGAAAAATGTCAAACAGCAGTCCGACTTGGCAGGGAGAAAACAATCTCGAACGGCATGCAAAACAATGCCAGTGATGGGTTTGCTGTTTAGTGTGTGTGTGTGTGTGAAAAGGGAGAGTGTGTTTCCTTTCATAGACTTTTGTCAAAGGCAGCGGTAAGAAAGGTGGCACGCGGTATCTGAAAGGCTCCACACGCAATCCCAGCTTGCCCACCTGTTCTGCTCCTGCTTTGATTTCAGCTTGAGAGGGAAGCAGAGAGCCTCTTGCTGATCAAGCTAAGCATGCACCGGCTTGGCTGTAAGGTGCACGGAAACATAGTGAAAATGCCCCTAATACTTTATTTTCCTCCTACGCGGCAAAGGGAGAAAAAAAGAAGCTACAAAATCAGATGTGCGTCTGTACTGTCAAAGAGTGGTACAAACCGCTAACGTTTTGGCCGTTGTGTCAAGAGCATCTAAGTATGAGGCGTTTCAGGAGGGGCAAACAGGAATCACTGCCCTCCCTGGGGAGTTCAAGAAAAATATGAGACAGGAGGGGAGAGAGAATGAGAGATGTTAGACAGAGACAGTAACACAGCATCAGAGAGGTAAGGGGAGACAGAGCACTTCAGGGCATACCCAACTTAGACATGGCCATCATAAATGATTAAAGGCAAATGTCCTATTCCGACAAGCCTACCAATCTTTGCACAGTGTAATGGAAGCCAAAGTGAAACGAGCGTGGAGCGCCGCATTTGCATCGAGCAATCACCAAAGAGATGTGTTTAAAGAGGCCAGGAGGGGCGGGGAGCAGGAGAGAGGTTTTTTACTATTATGGTCTGTTTAAATGGAGGATATTACCTGTTTACCCAGCTGCCGAGGGCAACCGGCATTTTGTTTGAGGTCATTCCGTGAATATTCCTCCCACAGGTGGACACTCTGGCAGTGGGGGACAGTTCGGTCTTTATTATTCCATGGCGGGATCCGCAGGGAGAGGAGGGGGTCGTGACCTCGGGAAGCAGAAGTGGAAATGACACCAGAGGAGGAGGGAGAAAGAAAATGAATGATGGAGATGGAAACTAAAAAAGTCATATATACGTAAAGCATATGTGGCTCTGTTGGAGCTTGTATAATCTCACATTCTTGATTCACCCATGAAATCTGACACAATCATGTTTATGAATGTCGATGAGATGTCAGTAAAATAAGCGTGGATTCAGATGCACACCTTAGTAGGAAGTAGGGAGTGAATATTATATTTCCTGACGTGTCGTGAAGTATTCTGGAGGTGATCTGAAGGTTGCAAACGCCACTTTTTTTAGACTCACGTTTGAGGCATAGCCCCGAGCAGCACAGAGCTGTGAAGCAACGGGTGCGTATCTCTGAGGCCATGGATGATGGATTATATGAGTAATAATATTGATGGCCGATGGGTTTCCCATACAAATGAAGAGTCATACCTGAGCACTCTTTCACAGACAGATCATGCAGTGCATCAAAGAAAGAGCCGTGATGCTTCATTGTATGTCACCTTACAGATGACGGCGAAGAAATAATGTAAAAGCTAATTGTATTTGCTCTGCCTGTCACATGCCACTCTGTAGTTGCGCCACGGAGCACACGCTGCAAACGGGGCCAAGCAACGTCCTCACTTTGCATCTGCAGCGCTAGCATGTCCGCTGTTTTTAAACGTTACATTTGCTGCTGTTTGAAATGCAAAGGGCCGTCAAACATGTCCACTCATACAGTGCGGGGCAGATTGATGATACACCCTGCCTTGACAGCTCTCATAGAATGCCACCGCGCTCACCCCTGTTTGCAAAGCATCCACGGTTAAATCCCCATTGCTCATTTCTCCATCCGTTCGCAGTTTAACATTGTGATCTTGAGATGTCACACTCTGCTTTGATTTGTTGTCGTTTTTTTTTGGTTTCGTCGAGACGTCGGGGACTCGCCGTATATTCCTTTTTACAAATCAGAAAGCCACTAAATTGTTCCTGCACGCCTTTTGATGATTTGACTTTTGAGAGTTCATCTGATCCTGACCCAAATCAGTCACCGTAAGAGCTTTCGTGCATGTCACGACCTCCAAAATGAGCGATGTGACAGGAGTTTAATCAATGCTGAATTCTGGCCCGCGGGTTCAAGAGCAGGCCACACACTCCAGCACACACATGAGTGCAGGCGTTCAGGCAAAAAGCTTTGACGCACACATGGTACAAGGTGAACCG